CTTCCGACACCATCCTATCTGGGCCGCTCTTCAGCTGTAATCTCCACACCTAGCCTCTGCCATAGCCCTTGTCAACCTGACTGTCAGCAATTACCCACCGGTGTCCCAGCTCCATTCCTCTCCAGCCACGCCTCAGCTGCAACTCCCAGCCTAATCCTGCACTTCGTGAGTCTAAAACCCATTCTGCTCACTCTCACTCTCCCTCTGTCTTGGGCTCTCCCAAGGTCTAGAGTTTGGCCATCTGCCTCCATTGCCAGGGTAATGACCGGTGTGAGTAACTGGGCCTCCATTCTCTCTCATCTACCTTCTGCCATCAGGGTCAAAGCAAGCACCTCATCTTCCCACAAGCCATCTGTTGATAATCTGAACTGTAATAAACCACCATAGCCTGAGTCAATACACTGGGTCCAGCCAATTTTTTCCTCTCTCACCGCTTGGTGAGAGAGTAGCCAACCTTAACAGCAGAAGGACTGCAGGTTTTAGATGAGACTGGAAAATCTGTGTCAGGAAGGATTAGGCCGGGAAGCACAAGCGAATATGTTCAATCACAAATTGATATGAAAAAGCAGTCTCCATCTTCATAAACACCTGTTGGCATTCCATCTGATGCAGAATTACAATGTATGCCCACCTGCTGAAGAGGACTCCCAAATGGCCCCAGCTTACAAACTGAAGGCCTGCACAGGCGACAACTCACCTGGTCCACTAAAAGGTGATGAGAAGGTAATGAAACCCAGTATGAATGCACATACTCAACCATACACGGCCCAATACATTCTTCCAGCTAGCACCCCCCTGGGGCAGAACCTGTGGCACAGTATCTAGCACAAAGAGATCTTGTCAGCTCAGGGCTGTATCAATTTGATGATAAGCCAGAAAATTACCATGCATGGTATTCCTCATTCACTAGTGCAACTGAGGGACTTCAGCTCACAGTAACCCAAGAATTGGACCTTCAGACAAAATGGCTAGGAAAGGACTCTAGTGATCTGACAAAACACATCCACACAGTCCATATTAACAACCCCAAAATGGCCTTAAGCAAAGCATGGGAAAGGCTACAGGAATCTTATGCAGCCCCAGAAGTCCTAGAAAAATAACTGTTTCAATGGCTACAAAGTTTTCCCAAAGTTTCTGCCAAAGACCATATAAAGCTACGAGAACTAGGGGATTTGCTCTTGGAAATTGAAGGCGCCAACAAAGATGGCTACCTCAATGGTCTGTCATATCTAGACACTCCACGCGGAATCGGACCAATTGTGGACAAACTCCCCTATGAGCTTCAGGAGAAGTGGGTGTCAAGTGGTTCATATTATAAGGAAAAGGATCATGGTCGCTTTCCACCCTTTGAATACTTTTGCAAGTTTGTGTGCTATGAGGTAAAGAAGCGAAATGACCCCAGTTTCATGTATCAGTCTAGCACCACAACTCACACTAAACCAGTTAAATCCACTTCAAGCTATTTTACCCCCAATAAACCCATCTCAGTGCAAAAAATGGATGTTACCATCACCAACACTGACCCTAACAAGAACTGTCCTTTACACAACAAACCCCATCCCCTCAAAAAATGCAGAATGTTTCAAAACAAACCCTTCAATGAGAGAAAGGCCTTTCTTAAAGAGAAAGAAATATGTTTCAAATGCTGTTCCTCCACCTCCCACTTAGCCAGAGCCTGCATGTCATCAGTGAAGTGCTCTGAATGCAGCAGCACCAATCACGATGTAGCCATGCATCGAGACGCATCACTTCTAACTGCTAAGGCTTCCTCATAGCCTCGAGAGGACGGTGGGGAGGGGGAAGACCACTCAAACATGGGTGTTGTCAGCACAAGCTGCATTGACGTTTGCAGCCCATGAAAATGGAGCCGCTTGTGCTCAAAGATTTGCCTCACCAACTGCAAACGAACCACTTGGCACTGCTTGTGCTCAAAGATTTGCCTCACCAAGATATAAGCAAAGGGTGCTCAGGACATAGCTATTAAAGCCTATGTGATTCTGGATGACCAGAGCAATCACTCACTAGCCTGATGAGAGTTCTTCGAGTTATTTGGCATAGAGAGTGCTCTTACTACCCCCCTATGGCATCAAAGAGGTATCTGGCCGAAATGCTGAAGCTTACTAGATAGTCAATCGATGGTGAAGTGGTCATGTGTCTCCCTTCACTTCTCGAGTGCAACAAGATTTTGAACAACTGTTCAGAGATTCCAACGCCAAGTGCAGTGTTAAACCAACCTCATCTGCATCACATTGCCAGGCACATCCAGGAGTTGGACCCAAAGGTCGAAATACTGTTGCTACTTGAAAGAGATATGCTTAGAGCGCACAAAGTCCGGGAACAGCTCAACGGGCCACACAATGCCCCCTTCGCCCAATGTCTTAGGCTGGGTGGTGATAGGTGAAGTGCGTCTGGGAAATGCATACAAACCAACAGTCAACACATTTAAGACCAATGTGCTAGAGAGTGGCCGGTCATCAATTTTTTTCGCCTTGCACAAGCTTCATACATGTTAAAGAAGCACAACATGGCTTTAACCAGCATGGAAAAGTGACTGAAAGGACACTGGGACAGTCATTGTTCCTTAAAATGGAGCACAACAATAAGCCTGCCCCATCAGTTGAAGACAAAATCTTCTTAAAATTAATGGATAAAAAGATCCATAGAGATGAAAGCAACAGTTGGGTTGCTCCGCTGCCATTCAGAGAACCACGCCAATATTTTCCAAACAACAAAGAGCAGGCAAACAGCCGACTTGTATCCTTGCTTTGGACCATGAAAGGGAAACCTGAAAATGCAGCAACAGTATGTGGACTTCATGGGCAAGAGCTTTGCCAATGGACATGCTGAGGTAGCACCACCATTGGAGGAAAATGAGGAACACTGGTATCTCCCAACATTTGGAGTTTACCACCCACAAAAGCCCAATCAGATCAGGGTGGTCTTCGATTCCAGTGCACGATGGTCTGGTATCTCCCTCAACGATGTGCTTCTTAAAGGTCTTGACCTAAATAATAGCCTACTAGGTGTCCTGTTACGCTTTAGGAAAGAAGGTTGCACTCCTCACTGACATCCAGCAGATGTTCCACTGTTTCTCAGTGCACAAAGGCCATCAAAAACGTCCTTTGCTTTTTATGGTATAAGGACAATGACATCAATAAGGAGGTTATTGACTACTAACTGAAGATCCATGTCTTTGGCAACAGCCCATCTCCAGCCATAGCTGTTTACAGGCTGCGAAAAGCCATCAGAGAAGGTGCACAAGAGCATGGCGATGATACTGTCAAGTTTGTGGAAAGGCACTTCTATGTTGATGATGGCTTGATATCTATGCCAACTGAAGCCAAGCCAATAAACCTGCTACGACAAACAGGCTTCACTCGCTGAGTCGAACCTTCACTTACATACTGTACAGTATGTCTCCCTATCTGAAAGT